TATTTTTTATATATTTTTTATATATTTTTTATATATTTTTTATATATTTTTTATATATTTTTTATATATTTTTTATATATTTTTTATATATTTTTATATATTTTTTATATATTTTTTATATATTTTTTATATATTTTTATATATTTTTATATATTTTTTTATATTTTTTTATATTTTTTTATATTTTTTTATATTTTTTTATATTTTTTTTATATTTTTTTTATATTTTTTATATTTTTTTTTATATTTTTTATATTTTTTTTTATATTTTTTATATTCTCCTTTTAGCCTGCAGAAACTATTTATCTCCTTCAAAACAGCCATATAATAAAATGTGTGGTGTTTGGCTCGCTTGTGGTCGAGGTTTTCTGGACTTTTTCTCCTTTTACAGCACAGAAGAGAATAAAGTAAGGTTTCAAGTTTTTGAACCTGTCAGCAGAAACTAGGAAACTTCAGATAACTAAAGGATTGTTAGGTGTTGTGGTACTTGTTGCCTGTGTTGAAGCTCCAGCTTTGATTTATTATAAGAGGGAGTTGGGGGAAAAAAAGACTTGTGCAACTATGGAGAAAAGAGGAAGCTCCTGGGCTCAAGCCCTGGAGGCAAAAGGGAGGCAGGGATGAGAGGAGCTGTGGAAAGGGGACATTAGGGGGTAGAGGAAAAGGGAATAAGGGTGTGGGAGAGCCTAGGGAGGAAGAGGACTCTAATTAGTTTGGGGTATTTGATTGAGATGTTGGGGCTAAGAATGGATGTCTCCAACCTCTCCCAGCAGCTGGAAGCAAGCAGGGCACATCTGAGTGATGGGATGGGGATATCCTTGTAGTTAAAAGTGAATGTATTTCCTTTTCTCCAAAATAATAAATTTATTAAAAAGAAAAAGAGAGTGTGTGTATATATATATATAGAGAGAGAGAGATTTTAATCTGTTCTAATTCTGTGAAATGTTTCTGCAAGCAGGAGAGCAAAAGGTGGGGAAAAAGTTTGCAAATATGTGCAGCATCTCACCCCAGCATTATCAAAATGATACGTTTTTCGGTTTTCGCTTTGAAAGAGGATCTCTGTTTCTGCCCAGTACAAGCCCCGCGAGAAGCAGAGTGCTGGGTGTAACCTGAAACTGAGCTGGACGTTCTCGTTGCAGGAGGAGGTAATTCGGGGGCGTTTGCCCATGAAGGCTCCCCTCCTCCTCCTCCTGAGCTTGCTGGATTCTCCAGTTCTACCATTGCAATGCAAAGCCCATCCTCAGCCGGGCTGCTTGCTCACCCACCGCTGCTTCCATGGGGTGCTGATACCCCATGGAAGTTGGTACAAAGCTTTAGGCTTGCAGATGTCTTGGCAGTGCCCTTGCAAATGCCCCATGCTAGCCTGCCATCCAACCTGTGCTTGCTTCTCTTCACCCCTGCCAGGACAGCGATGAATTGTCTGAGGATAGAGAAATCAGCCCAGGTTGGGCTGAAACAGCTAGAAACCATCACAGGTTATCTCCGGGTTTGCTCACATTTTGGGTTTTAAAAAGGTAACTTTCTATCCTAAGGAAAGAGTAATATTTATAGTGGGTGCAAAGTGGGATATAATCCTAGCCGGAATCTCAAGGCAAGGCCCTTTGGGGTCTGTCTCTTCCCAGGCAGGGGTGTAGCGTCTCATGCATATGAAGACATGCAAAAAAATGTTATTAAAGTAGAGAGTGTGTATTTCGATTCACAGGCTGCCTAGGGAAATTCCCACTCTGCCACAAAATGGCTAGCAATGATCTACTGGGCAGGAGACGAAACCCAGGATGGGGAGCGCTGCAAAAATTCATGGCAATGAAACTGAGCTAAAATGAATTTTGACATTTAATCCTAGATCAATTGGCAAATTTCACAATAGATAATTTTTCTCCTCACTCGGGCGAAGCGCAGCCGCGTGGACCCAGTGGAAAAAAAAATTAAAAAAGAATTAATTTCTAAAGATCAGGCGCCAATCTTTTCAGCGGGCTGAGGATGGGCACTCCCTCCTGCCGCCAAAATACGGAATAATTTCAGAGAAAAAAAGCCACCTATGCTGAGCTTGGATGATCATTTATAAGACAAAAATGACTCTGCGTTGCAAACTCGGAGATGCTTTAAGAAAGATTAATTCTGTGGGCAGTGGAAGGGGAGTGCTGGGCTTTGCCCCTCGATGCGATATGGCGAGATGATTCAATCTCCGAGATGCACGCCTGTAAAAAATGACTCCGTTACTTGGGGAGGAAGAGCACTGGAGAAACTGTTCAACGTGGTCACAGTAGGTGACATCCTTGAAATCAAAAGCAATGCTTCTTGCGAGCTGCCGCGCGGCAAAATTAAAGATGTGAAGCCAAATTCATCTCTGGTGTTGTAGTGCTGCACCTGGGATGGATTTCTTCTGTTATGGAAGTGGCAGAGAAGGTGACAGATGGTTTCGCGTGTTTTTGTAGCACTTGGTTACAGGCAGCAGACCTGCTCGTAGGGCCCCGTGCAAGAGGGAGATTAGATGTTTAGCTCTGGCTCTCCAGGGACTGGCAGCATCTCATTGCGTTTGCAGAGGTCAGAGCTGGCGGAACCCCTAGCATGCCCATAGAGTCCACGGGTTGCTTAACGTGGAAGAACATTTTCATCAAATGCTTATGCTTAAGAAGGAAACAGCCTGGACATGTCAGAACTTTTCATCACCTGCCTTAAGCACCAGATATAGCTGAGTGTTGCAGCCTCGTGGATTCACTGCATTTGTGTTGAGAGAGATTTTTTTGGGGGAGTAAAAAGTGTTTTGGTCATAAAAATTGTATGATTCTGCATTTGACTGGAGAGCAGGTTCCTTCCCTTGGGCTGAAGAACGTAAGCAGATGCATGAGTGTCCTTAATGCTTCTCCACCACGTTGGAGCTCGGTTTGTTTTGTTATATTTGCATTTCTGGAATGCTTTATCCTATCAATGACATTAATTACGGAGTAATTGCCCTAGTAGCATGTAACAACTCTCCTCCTTTTTTAAAGAGATTTTCACACAATGTGTAAACTTTGCCGTATATGTGCTACGTTTCCCGTGTCATGAAATAATGTGTAGACAAAATAATGTTTTTCCTGTCAGAAATTCAATGGGCATCTAAAGTGACAGGTGGTTAAATAGCTGCATTTAAAGGATGTCAAGAAGATTTTTTGGACAGGTACCAAAACCCGATGCCAAAAAGAAGGCCTAATACCATCTGTTTTGTAAGCAGAAAGATGCAATTTTACATTAGATTTTAAATGACACAAAATGCCAAATGCATAACCTTGATTTGTGGGTCAAATCTAGCTTATCTAGATTGCGGATGTTTTTATTTACCAGCACAGTCCCTAAGCCAGAGCCCACTCAGGTAAATGAACACACCTCCAGGCAGACCTAATTTCAGGAAATGGGAAATTTCTGAGTTGCATTTAATTTTGTTTTGTGTTACATGTAAATCCAGATGCAATGTGGACTTAATTAATCCAATTTCACTGCATTTTAATGTACACATTTGCATTGTGTTTATTGGCAATTGGCTTCATCCATTTGTTCAGCATTCTTCATACCCATTCAGACTACTGAATATTTAGAGATCTATATACTTCTGAGCAGAAATGAGAAGTGTAGCTTGGAATTAAATAGTATGATTAGGAGTTCTCAGACACAAACTGGGGATAAGACTAAAATGTCAAAACATAGCTGCATAATACAGTGGAAAATTGATATCCATATTTTAAAATAATAATCTGTGCAGTACTAAATTATTTTAAAAATAATGTGAGAAGGCATTTTAGGGGGTATGCTGGAAATGAGAATATACTTTTACAGTTAAAGACCAGTGAGTGCTGGAGGGCTACTTGGAAACAAATAATGAATCTGATAAATTCAGCCGCTTTTTCATGCTCTTAAAAAGTGCCTTTGAAATTATCGTTATTCAGGTTCAGTCTGATATTTAGCAATGCTCATTACAGAGTTTTCTCCTCTTTGTGAGCAGCCTGTTTGGCTTAAGTGGGATTGCTGAGGTAATGGTGCTGTTGTTTCTGTTCCACCAGCAATGTTAGGCATGAAATGTGACTTGTCATGTTTGTGGTCTTCTCTCGATGACCTGGTCAACACAGACCAGGGAGCTTCTGTGCTTTGGGTGTCACTTACTCATAAGCTTGCTAACAAGAACCAAGTTTCTTCTCCCTTGCTAGGGCTGGGTTTGGCTCTTGAGGCCAGTGGTGTCACTGGGTTTGCTGTTGCTGTTTGTTTGCCACTATGGCCTGTCTCTCTCTCCTTTGATGTTTAGCCAAAATGTAAGGTATTTGCTCTTTTTTTTTCCTGGTTTCCTGGGGAGTTAATCAAAGGCTGGTCCATGGAGTCAAGGGAAAGCTGACTGCTCTGAAGGATGTCCATGCCACGGATCTCCATGCTCTCTCCAGGTCCATGTGGTGCCTAGCTCTTCCTGTGCTAGACAAGTCCCAGCTTTCCTGGGGCTCAGCTAGGAGAAGAGGAATGACTCTGATATGACACGAAGGGCAAAACCCCCAAACCGCAGTGTTGGGGCTGAGCATCCTCTCCCTGCCTGCAGATCTGTCTCATTTATGCCCCCCTTCTCTAGCTCTCCTCCCAGATTTTTCATGGATGGTCCTCAGAGGTCTATCAGCCTAGTTATTCTTGCAGGCTCCGTAGGTGCCAACAGCAGGTGTGTGGGCTGGTGCTGATCCCGCAATCTTCCCACTGCCTGGATGCGAGCTCCTCGCTTGGCGAGATGAGCTTCTGTGGAGACAGGGCCTGTCCAGGCTGGTATCCATGGGGCAGATCATCATGAAGCTCAGCATCTCCAACCCCCAAGAGGTTGCTGCTCAATGAGAGATGCTCAACCTTCCTTTTCCTACCGCTAGCTCAGAGCTTGTGGGTCTGGTCAAGGGGGTCTGGGATGGAAAGCTGGTGTCAGGTTGTCTCTTTTGACAATCCAATGAGTACAAACGATGAAGATGTTCATGAGAGGAGCTGCAAGGAGGTTTGTTTGATAAAGAGCATTTTCTCTGCCAGCCTCTCTGGGTGTATATCAAAAAGAAAAAAGAAAGAAAGAAAAAAAAAAAGGATTTATGGATATTAATAGGAATAACACTTTGTGATGACTGATTTTTTTTTTTTTTTTCAGATCCATCTCTGTTTGAGATCTAATGGAGGCAGATGAATGTACAAAGTTTGACAGGGCTGATTGTTGTGAATCTCATGCTCCAGGGATCTGAGAAGATATTAAGAAAACATTGCTGTGTTTTTGAAAAGAAGAGCTTTTAAGATGGTTAAAATGCAACTATTCTGATGTCTGTCATTTAAAGGAAATCAGTTTGTGGCTGCTGAAGAGATGCTGTAAGTTTGGTGATGAAATGTGTTAATTTTTGTAGGAAATAACAGAATTAAATCCTGCTTAAACTGAAAAAAAGCCAATTCAGCCTTAGCTGTAAAGCTGCTAGCAATGTCTCCACAATATAAGAAATCTAATAATTATGATAATTAATAAAGATAATAATATAGTAAAACCTTGCTAATTCATACTAATGACTCAGAGGCTGCTTACTAATTACTGAATTTTGTGGATAAACAAGCCAGAATAATGCAACATAAAATACACTTTGTTCCATTATTTTGACAACTCGAGTTTAGTTTTAATTATTTATACTTCATAATAGACTAGTCGCTGTACTTGGGAGGATTTTACACAAAAATAATGATGCTTTAATAACTTGAGGTGGCTGCACAGTGTCTGCTGCAGGAGAGAGAAAGCCGGCAGGGCTGGACGTGCGCAAAGCGGGAAGAGGAAGGATTAGCAGGACGCGGAGCAGCAACGTTGTAATGCAAAATAGGGCACGTTTCTGCACCGCCGCGGCCGGAGAGCCCCCGTGCAGGCCCGTCTGTCGGGGATGCCTGTGAGCAGGGCAGCTTTGGTGCTAAACGTGGAAAAATTGATGCCGATTCTTCAGGAAAAAAAAAAAAAAGGGGGGGGAAAAAAAGCATATAGGCTGAGAAATAATAAACGGAAAGAAGTTTTGTGCCCAAATCAATTTTTATCCCTGGATAGTTTTTTTTTCCACCATCACGAGGGCTAAGTGCTTGTCTTAATTTCGATGAGAGCTATGTTTTGTACGTAATCACTCGATTCTTAAAGCTGGCCTTCAAAAAAAAAGAAAACAAAACAAAATAGAAACAAAACCAAAAATACACCCCCAAAACAACAACAAACAAAACAAAACAACCACCACTAACAACAACAACAAAAAAACCCTTCCAATCCTCATCCCCTTCTGGTCCCTTCCAGTTGGGAACACTGCTGAAATGGAGAATTGAATGTTTGTATAACATGATTTTTCAGCTGCATCACAAGGATATAGTGAGTCCTGTGCATGCTGCCCTGGTGGCTCCAGGTGCCATGAGGCTCCTTTTCCCCCCAGGTGTCATCCAGGTGGAGGTGGTGGCCCCAGAGTGAGAGGGGTACGACCAGACCTTGAGGAGCAAACTGGAAAGAACCAGAGAAGCAGAAGTACGAAATCAATAATAAGTGGAAGAGAAAAGGCAAAAGGAAACTAAGAGGCCGCTATGAAAAGGGACGGGAATGAAAGCAGGAGATCAAATGGAGGAGGTGGTTGACATATCAGAGCGCAATGTAACCGTGAACGAGTGGCAGCTGCTGAACTGGAGCAATCTTGGGTGCCCCTTTCCTGGCTTGTCCCAGCCAGGTCCCTCTCCACCTGCTGGAACTTCAAGGCAAGGTGGCCCTGCAAATCACCCCAGCTGCTCCTGAGGATCAATCAGAGGTGCAGGCAGAAGTGGGAGCACCTGTGTCACCTGCCCTGCACTGTCTTTAGGGCCAGCGCTGTCTAGGTAGCAGAGCCCTGAGCATCACCTCTGCTTTGATGGCAGGACCCCCCTTGTCTTCCCCGTGAGTAGGAACCATCTCCAGAGCTGGGGTGGTCTCTGCGGGATGGAGGAGAGCAACAAGGGGCGCAGACTTTTCCCCGCTCCCCCCCACAGCGCTGGGCTCCCACGGAGGCTACTGACGCGGGGGGCAGCGAGAGGGTGAGGGAGCGGACACGGGGGGCCGCGAGGGGAGGCTCGAGCCCTCCCCGCGGCGCGCGCAGAGCCCCGGGGGGCTCCTCCGGGGCGCCCTCCCGCCGCGGGCCCGGCGGCCGCCGCGAACAATAGCGGCCCC